AAGAAATCATTTAAATGACAACTTCGTGTAAAAAAAAAAAGAAAAAAAAAGTTTTTGTCATTTTCCAGAAACTTGTGGAAAAAAAATCAATCTTCCATGGACTCAATATGCCTCTCAGCAGATAGCTTAGGGTGTCTAATTTCCGAAAAGGGGTCATTTGGGGGTGTTTGTACTATTCTGGTATTTTAGCACCTCAAGAAATGTGATGGGCAGTCAGAAAGTAAAAGCTGTGTAAATTCCCATTATCTATACCATAGTTTGTAGACGCTATAACTTTCACAAAAAGCAATCAATATACACTTATTGGGATTTTTTTAACCAAAAACATGTAGCAGAATACATTTTGGCCTAATTTTATGACGAAATTTTAGTTTTTTTAGATATTTTTTATGATCAAAATGAGAAAATATTGTTTTTTTCAAAAAAAAAAATTTTTTCTTCAAAAACTTTTCTGGTTATAGCGCCAAAAATAAAAAGTGCACAGGTGATCAAATACCACCAAAAGAATGCTCTATTTGTGTTAAAAAAATGACATAAATTTCATTTATGTACAATATTGCATGACCGCGCAATTGTCCGTTAAACTAGCGCAGCGCTGTATAGCAGAAAAATGGCGTAAATTGCAGTATCTATACCATAGTTTGTAGACGCTATAACTGTCACACAAAGCAATCAATATACACTTATTTGGATTTTTTTTACCAAAAACATGGAGCAGAATACATTTTGGCCTAAATTTATAACTAACTTTGAGTTTACTATATATTTTTTATAGCTGAAAGTAAAAAATATTGTTTTCCTTCAAAATATTTGGTCTTTCTTTGTTTATAGCGTAAAAAAAATAAAAAGCACACAGGTGATCAAATACCACCAAAAGAAAGCTCTATTTGTGTGAAAAAAAGGACGCAAATTTCGTTTAGGTGCAGCATTGCATGACCGCACAATTATCAGTTGAATTAGTGCAGCGCCAAGTAGCAAAAAGAGGCCTGGTCATTGAGGGGGGTAAATCCTCTGGAGCTCAAGTGGTTAATCAGAGTATAGCATCAAGTCAATTACACTCCTGGGACATTGATCTGGTCAGTTTAGTAGGGGGCTGTTAATCAGTTTCAGCTGCTTTGGTGTTAATTACATTAACAACAGGTGCACTAGATGGGCAACAATAAGATGACCCCTAAAACAGGAATGGTTTTACAGGTAGAGGCCACTGACATTTTTTTCCCTACTCATCTTTTCTGACTGTTTTTCACTAGTTTTGCATTTGGCTAGGGTCAGTGTCACTACTGGTAGCATGAGGCTATGCCTGGACCCTACAGAGGTTACACAGGCAGTCCAACTCCTACAGGATGGCACATCAATACATGCCATTGCCAGAAGGTTGGTTGCGTCTCCCAGCAGTTTCAAGAGCATGGAGGCGATTCCAGGAGACATGCACGTACTCTAGGAGAGCTGGACAGGGTCGTAGAAGGTCCCTAACCCATCAGCAGGACCAGTATCTGCTCCTTTGTGCAAGGAGGAACAGGATGAGCACTGCCAAAGCCCTACAAAATGACCTCCATTGTTCATGAGGGTGGCCTGAGGGCCCAGCATTCTCTATTCGGTCCTGTACTCACTGCCCGGCACCATAGAGCTCGATTGGCATTTGCCATTGAACACCAGAATTGGCAGGCCTGTGCTTTTCACAGATGGGAGCAGGTTCACCCTGAGCACATGTGACAGATGTGAAAGGGCATGGAGAAGCTTTGGAGAACATTATGCTGCCTGTAACATCGTTCAGCATGACCGTTTTGGTGGTGGGTCAGTGATGGTCTGGTGAGGCATATCCATGGAGGGACGCACCGACCTCTACAGCCTAGACAATGGCACTCTGACTGCCATTTGGTATCAGGATGAAACCCTTGGACCCATTGTCAGACCCTACGCTGGTGTATGTAAACAGAAGGAACTCAGCGAATGCACCAAAAAAAGTACCACAAATCCTTTCAATAGACAAATAAAACCAGAAAGTAGTGTAGCGCTTAAATATATAAACCAATCATATTAAAATTATAGATAATAAATAATATACATTGTAACGTGATCAGCAAAATTACATATTAAGTGGTGTCAATATGCATTACACCAGAAAACAATATCATGGAAATGTCCCATAAACTTATGCGAAGTATGATGATGATATACTGAGTGCAATCTCAGTGTTGAACATGCAAACAGTTCTAGAATCAGGTGCACATTAGAATGATCCCAGCGTGAGGTAATAGTAATCCGGTGGTGTGCGGTGAAAATAGTAGGATTGCAAACTCACCAGAAGCGCAATCTTAATGCATGTTAGATATATAAATCAGCCTGAGGATCTCCCCTCTCGTGGAGTACCACCTGGTATAGGAATCTCCTCTTCTGTCAGTCTGGGCATAAATGATGTCAATCAGAGGACCCTTATCTGGGCTGTGGTGTAATTAGGTCTGGTCACAGGAAAGATTCCCTTCTCTGGGCTGGACTGGAGAATCACACAAGGGGTCCTGGGGGGTTTAAATGCTTGTGGGGGGAGAAAAAATATAGGAACCCATAGTGTAGTAAGTTTGACATATATTGGGAAATTTATCCAGATATGAAGATAAAAGTAATGGTGTACACACATGTAATATATTAAAAAATGCAGGTTACATGCAGGTTGAAACCCAAAATTGGCTAATGCAGAGATGAAATGTATCCTAGGACTGTTTGTAACTAACTAGTTAGCAGAATAAGATGGCCACCAGACCTCCGTGATCCGGCAGCGTGACGTCACGGTGTAGCGAGGCTCCTCCTGCGTTTTTGTATTAACATACGTTCCTAGAAGGGGTGTTGCCTAGGCTACCGGACGTCATAGACTCTTCTTATACAGGCATAGATGGCACGCGCTAATTAGCGGGCGCCATCTTACCGGAGATCAACACAGACTGTGCATGCGCGAATAACGCGGGCGCCATTTTTCTGTGGATCTACACTGTTCGGAGAAAGCCACCTAATGCGCACGCGCGGGCATCACGGTCGCCGTTTTCTTGTGGGTTTCAATCCGTATAGAGCCAGACAGCAAAGTGGCTGGTGCAGTGGGTCCTGGGTTCCTCCTGGTGCACAATGCCCGGCCTCATGTGGTGAGAGTATGCAGGCAGTTCCTGGGGGATGAAGGAATTGATACCATTGAATGTACCCATGCTCGCCTGACCTAAATCCAACAGAACACCTCTGGGATATCATGTTTCACTCCATCCGACGCAGCCAGGTTGCACCTCAGACTGTCCAGGAGCTCTGTGATGCCCTGGTCCAGATCTGGGAGCAAATACCCCAGGACACCATCCATCGTCTTATTAGGAGCATTCCCCAACTTTGTTAGGCATGCATACAAGCACGTGCGGCCATACATACTACTGAGTACCATTTTGAGTTGTTGCAATGAAACTTCAGCAAAATGGACCAGCCTGATGCATAATTTTTTTCACTTTGATTTTTGGGGTGTCTGAATTCAGCCCTCTGTAGGTTGATCAATTTCATTTCCATCAAACGATGGGGCATCCTTATTTTCTTAACACATTACCCAGTCCATATCAGTATAGATATCCAGCATGATAGTTTTCCTCATTGAGATATGATGTGTCGATAAAGTGTTCCTTTAATTTTTTTTTGAGCAATGTATATTGAAACTGTCTCTAATTGAGCTTATGCAAACTAAAAGGATCCCTGTCTCTTGAAGAGTGCTACTGCAGTATAAACCTCTGAATATACGGTACCTGTCTGTGGTGACAGAGTGTGTACAGATGTTTATTTTTCATAATTGTAATTGCTAATCTTGTGAAAGTTTCCAACTCTTCAGTAAAAGTTGGTGGTGGCAGTTTAAAGAGTTAATCGCTTAGTTAACTAAACCCAGTAACAATCGCTCTCAGTCTGTTGGCACCTAGATTGTGGTCCCGCAAGCTGGAAAAAATCTTCGTGCAGTGGGGGGATGAGGGTGCCATTGTTGCGTGACAGCGTGGTGTGGGTTTGGCCAGTCTTTTGTCACAAGTTGGTGAAGAGGGCAGTGGTTGGACACCCATGTTTGTCACACTTATTGTTATACCTGTCAAACGTTTTCTGATTTTCTTTGGCCAATCTTGTGATTTACATACCTCCGCCATACTGTGCAGCCAGGAAAATGGCAAGTTGGGGAAATTTACTAAAACTGCAGCACTCAGAATTTGGTGCAGCTGTGCATGTTAGCCAGCTAGCGTCTAACCTCAGCTTTTTCAGCTAAGCTTTGACAATAAAACCTGGAAGCTGATTGGTTTTTATGCACAGTTGCACCAGATTTTGCACTCTCCACTTTTAGTAAATATCCCCCACTGTCTTTTTCAGCAATTCAGCTTCCTCTTCAGCTCCACATACATCATTAGTCAATAAATCATTGTCATCATTGTCCAAACAGCAGGAGCTGACTCAAGCTTAACCAAGAAATAGTAGAGTAGTCCTTCTGGCTAGAAGGACTACTCGCAAGAATAGCTCGCCATAAATACTAAAGAATCAAACCAAACATGACAAATCGCACAATGTGGTTCTCCTGGAATTATTTAATGCACTTAGACAAAGGCAAATCCCAACTCAATGGAGAACCTCAATGTTACACCCCTGTATGCACCTGGGGAATATTCTGACCCAGCCTAGCCCCTGCTCTCCTCCTCTATTGTTCTCCACCTATATCTTTTACCCTCCACCTTCCTTACCCACCTTTCACCCCTTCTACCACTTAACCTCTTGCCGACCGCGCATAGCCGAATGACGGCTTCACCGCGGCTGGCCAGTTCTGAGTGGACGTCATATGACGTCCTCCCAGAACGCGCTCTACTGCGCGCCCCAGGGGGCGCGCACCCGGCGATCTCCGTGATCGCTGTGTCCTACGGACACAGCTGATCACGAGATGTGGTAAAAGGCCGATCATACCGGCCTTTTACCACGTGATCAGCGGTGTCCAATGACACGCTGATCACAGGGAAATGCAAGTGCCGGTTCTCGGCTGCACTTTCCTCACGCTGTCAGATCGTGAGGAAAGTACTGCCGAGAACCGGCAGTTGTCAGAGCGGGGATCGGCACCGATCATCAGGGCACTGATGATCAGTGCCCTGATGATCGGTGCCCAGCAGTGACACCCGCAAGTTCCGCCCAGCAGTGCGCCCACTAGCTCCGCCCACCCGTGCCCAGCAGTGCCCCCACCTGTGCCCAGCAGTGCACCCACCTGTGCCACTCTGCAGTGCCACCTACCTGTGCCCAGAAGTGCCACCTACATGTGCCCAGCAGTGCCACCCACCAGTGCCACCCACCTGTGCCCACCAGTGCCACCCACCTGTGCCCACCCACCAGTGCTGCCCACCAGTGCCACCCACCAGTGCAGCCCAGCAGTGCTGCCAGTCAGTGCCACCAGTCAGTGCCCAGGGGTTGTGCCAGTCAGTGCCGCCAGTCAGTGCCCAGCAGTGATGCCAGTCAGTGCCGTCTATCAGTACCCATAATCAGTGTCACCTATCAGTGCCGCCTATCAGTGCTGCATATCAGTGCCGCCTATCCGTGACCCCTAATTAGTGCTGTCTATCAGTGCCGCCTATCCGTGCCACCTCATTAGTACTGCCTATCAGTGTTCTTTAGTGCTGCCTATCAGTGCCGCCTATCAGTGCCCATCAGTGCTGCCTCATCAACGCACATCAGTGAAGGAGAAAAAATACCTGTTTGAAAAATTTTATAAAAGAAACAAATAAACTTTTTTTTTTTTTCTAATTTTTTGCACTTTTTTTATTTATAGCGCAAAAAGTAAAGCGCCCAGTGGCGATTAAATACCACCAAAAGAAAGCTCTATTGGTGAGACAAAAAAATTCAAAATTTCATATGGGTACAATGTTGCATGACCGCGCAATTGTCAATCAAAGTGCGCCAACGCTGAAAGCTGAAAATTGGCCTGGTAAGGAAGGGGGTATAAGTGCCTGGTAGGCAAGTGGTTAACTACCCTCCTCTACTGCCAACTCAAGTTCCCCACCTTCAGTCTCCTTTCCCCCCCTTCTCTAATTATTTAATGGGAAAAATTTACCAGAATTGTGTTCCCATCCCCCTACTCCTGTAGACACAGGGCCACAAAACAATATGGCAGTGCCTATTGGATCATCGACAAGAGGACACATTTTGTAACATTTTGTGTACAAATCTTGTCACGTATACTGACTATACACTGGTACAACAGTGAACTGTTTCATACTGTATCTCATGTTAACGTACTTATTCTGAGCCTTAGAAATAAAAGATTTTCACTAAAATAAGCAGAAGAAACATGATTTAAAGTTTGTATTTTGCTATTTGCTTTAGGTTTCAGCTTAATAAAAACACAAATGTTTCCTATGTTACGTTACCAATGTTGAAGTATTAAAATGATAAGAAAAAACAGGTGAAGAACAGTGGAAATCTGATGAAAGGACAAATGTTGACAACTCAAGCCTGTTTGTTACTACTCAGCTGTTTATTAGGCTTGCCAGCATGTGCCAGAAAGGCATTGCTGATGTATATTTTCAACAGGGGAAAGGATCCCCCATCTGAGTCACTATGGTAAAACTAAAGAACAAATGAACAAGATATATTTAACATGTGTCTCTCTTTTCTTTTGTATGTGCGATAGTATTTTATTAAAGCGTACCTCTGTGTTTGAGTTCAGTGATAAATGCAATAAAAAGATATAATACCGGTTTCAAACAGGAAGGGAGCAGGATTTTTTTTCTGATCGCAAACTTCTAGGATTGACTCAGTAGTGGGAATGTGATTTTTGCAGAGAGACCACTACTTCCACGGGTTCTTCTCTGTACATGCTGGCAGACTAGCAGGGACTGTTTTTTCTACTGTATAAAAGAAAACAAACTGTAAGACTTGTATACTTTTTGAATGCACCTGGAATATACTTAGTTGCATGGGCGGACTGACAACTCATGGGGCCCCCGGGCAATAGGGGATCATCGGGCCCCTGTGTCCTTGCCCAAACTCAAAAAAGCCTATGAAAGAGGTACCAGGGGCATCTCATGGGGCCCCCTACTGACCCCGGACCCGAGTTTCCAAATGGTCAGTCCGCCCTTGCTTAGTTTATTTAACCCTTCTACTGCTGTAGTGGGGGGATTTTACACACCCCTGGCAACTGCAGATGTGTGTAAAATTGACAAGTCAAATATCACCTGCCAGATGGAAGCGATGCAGCTGTGCAGTGACTGGATTGCTTCCACATACACCCTTGTATGTGTCAGTCCCCCCACGTGCACCCCTGTGATGTTTCCTGGGTTCCACACGCCCATCGGCGGACCCAGGACGGGCATGGTAAGTACCACAAGGTAGAGGGGAGAAAGATCAGCAAACATGAGTTTAAGTACAAAAAATATATTAAAAATTCAATCAAAATCCCCCCTAAAAATGTCTATGCCCCCTCAACTACATTTACAACACACATATAAATGTAATTGCATGCATTGGGGGTGCCTACGCATGAAAACGATTTTGCTATACATGTTACATATCCCCATGCACGCTGTCAGAACAATAATTTTAGGCCCATTGTTTACAGTTAACTCAAAATTGATGACCTGTAGGGGCTTTTAAAGCATCACCTATGGAAAATATAGACCACCTAAGTTTGCTGCTGCTTCAGGGCACACACAATTTTAAGGCTTGACATGTTGGATATCTATTTACTCAGCTTAATCTCATCTTTTATTTCTTAAATTATTGAATTTATAAATTGTAATTTGGTGAAATTTTGCATTTCATTATTAGCGCAATATAAACTATTTTGTGACATACAAAATGGAACCTGCCACTATTTTAGGGCTCATGTTTAGGAGCTCCTCACGTTTAGGAGCTGTTCAGCATTTTTTTCAGCAACCCTAAACTCACCCTAATGTTTTCCTACGTGTCCATGTACACATCTTTGTTTACAGTCGTTTACAGGCAGTTGAGTTTACAGTTGTTTTTTTGAATGCAACAAACTTGCATTCAGACGTCGATTTTATCAGCGTTTCAAACGCAAAAACACTTGTAAACATGGTTAAACGCGTCTAAACGTGGCAAATCGCGTTAATAAGCGTTTGCGTTTGAGGATCTTTTTAACTCTTACAGTTCCCGATACTGTCCAGAACCTCTTTTCATCATGAAAAATGCATGCAAAGCATTTTCAAGGTGCTCAGATGGACAAAACACTGCATCAGGATGTTCCTACCAATGGTAATAACCAATTCACACCTCAGACCTCTCCCACCCTTGGAAACAAAAGATATGTTAATGCTCATTCACACCTCAAATTCCTCATGAAGACCCTCTGCCAGGTGGCCTTAATGACTCACTCCACCAGACACCTGTCTCACCCTTGGAAACAAAAGAAATGTCAATGCGCAACTCACACCTAGCTAATGTCAACACATACTGCTGCGTCTGCTTCTACTCTGTGTATTTCTCTGAAACAGTCTGAAATAGTTAATAATTTACAACTTTTTAGTGCATTCTGGGCATTTGGCAGGTTCTCCTGTGCTTATCTTTAAAAAAAACGCTTCTAAACGCAAATGCACATAAACGCAGCAAAACGGATGATTTTTAACCTGTGTTTTCCTGCTGTCAATTTCCAATGTTCAGAAGTGTTCTCCAAACGTCCCGTGTACATGAACCCTTATTCTCTAGGGTGTCTGCTTTCAAAAATTATGCAGTATAAAGTTTTGGTGGTGTTATCTAATATTTAGGCCTACAATATCTTTTAAATATGTGCAAAAATGTCCCTGGCAGCGAAAGGGTTAAACTGAAGGTTCACGTGGGCTTTAGAACTAAATCTTAATTTCAGCCTCTTGTAATCTTCACACACACAAGGAGAGGGCGATACAGCATATAAGCCATCCAGGTGCCCTGCATTTTCATGTGCTGACAAGGCACATGCTGACAGATGGAAAGAGTAGAGAGATGACTTCATCAGTCTGTTGCTCCTTCATTGTCCAATCACAGGCTTGGAGCAGGAAGAGACCTAGTTATGTTGCTTAATTGTAGGTCAATATAGGTAAATCGCAGGACTGGATGAACATAAATTAAAGTTTTTTGGTATGTAATATAGCGTGTGGGCGGGGTTTAGGGTGCCCTAGTAAGGACACTGTGACACTGCACTCTCTAATGTCTAAACCTTAGGCGGGAGCTGCAGTCATATAAAATCAACATTAGGGCAGGACTAAAGCAGGCCATAGACAAAACGAAAAAAAAAAAGAATGAAATTTGTGTCAATCGCCAAATTGTTTATTTTTTGCATTATTAGTGTCCTTCAATCAAAAGTGCCTGGGATTTTTTTTTTAGAAAACAATTGATGGCACAATTGTATGAGCTGTTTTCATTTTTCGATAGACAGAACTATGGCCTGCTTTAGAATCAAGCAATGCACTTGATTTACTCCATGTAATTCATGGCCATACTTTTGGTATTGGTCTCCACCAATCCAACAGGCCCATCGCCTCACTCCCAGTGACAATGTCCTGCACAATGCTATTTGGAGAAAGTAAACACACTTCTCCATAACTCTATTCTTGTTCTCCTTCCTGTGGGGCCTCCTCTACATCTCTCTCCCTGTGGGTCCAGGCTAGGTTCCTAGGTGCTGCAAGGTCGGTCCTGGTATGTGAGAATCTGGTCACTACTGAAGGGGCCAAGCATTACACCCCTTCAATATCAGAGCATCCATCACCTCTGACATGTAGCCCATCTCCTTTTTTTTTTATTATTATACAGTATTTATAAAGCGCCAATAGTTCGCTCAGCGCTGTACATTACAAAGAGAGACAGAACATGCGACAGTACATTAACAATACAATGTGATACACGAGGGGTTCGAGGGCCCTACTCTTTCGAGCTTACAATCTAGGAGGGAGGGGATAGTGGTACAGGAGGAGATAGCTGTGGGGGATGGAGTGGTTGGAAGAGTGGAGGAGATCGGCAATTAGCAGGGGGTGGGGTAGGCTTCCCTGAAGAGGTGGGTTTTCAGGGTGCGCCTAAATGAGAGGAGAGTAGGTGATAGTCTGATGGATTGGGGTAGGGAGTTCCAGAGTATGGGTGATGCCCTGGAGAAATCCTGGAGGTGGGCATGGGAGGAGGAGACTAGGGAACTAGAGAGAAGGAGGTCTTGAGAGGAGCGGAGTGTGCGTGGTGGGTGGTATTTGGCTATTAGGTCGCTGATGTAGTTTTGGGGCAGTATGATGGACAGCTTTGTACGTCAGTGTTAGGATTTTGAATTTGATCCGTTGTGCAATCGGAAGCCAGTGGAGGGATTGGCAGAGGGGGGTGGCGGAAACGGAGCGGTTGGTAAGGTGGATGAGTCTGCCTGCCGTGATCAGGATTGACT